GATATGTCTAATTTTTGTAATATTGCGTAAAATCTGGTGCGAGTTTGAGACTTTAACTTCTTAAATGTTTCTTTAGTCCTCTATGACAGTAAACTGAATTTGGGGTGGGACATTTGAGGTATTTTTGGGCGCATGTTAGCATGTTTACATGTAGCTCAAAGCACTGCTACAACCCACATTTTCAAAACCTTATCAATAAATATTCTAATGTATTCCATACATGTATTTTTTTAGCTACATCAATCATATTATTCTATAATAAAATCCAGTATTTCAGAACAAATGTAATGCAGCGAACATCTACAAAAATATATTTTAATCTTGTCCTCATTTGATCCTCTTTCACTTAACGTCCAAGTTGGAAATCCCAAATTCCTTCCTCTGAACGAGCGACTCCTCTAAATCCCTCTCTCTTTGACAAAGATATTTTACTAATTCCGACATTCGTGTGTGTGTTTAATTTCCATAAAATGTTCAGAGTTCATAAATCTACCAGCAGCATTGGACATTGTGGAGTGCTTTTTTTTAAATTATACTTGGGGCTATTTATGCTTTTGTTAGACGATGACAGAAAATGATGAAAAGAGAGATGCAGTGAAGGTCCCCGGACGGATTTGAACTTTTAAGTCACATGAATTATATATCAGAAAACCGGAAACAACCTCAGACACCGCCCCGATGAAGGCAAGATAGCTACAAAAAATTTGTAAATAAAGCATGGTGTGCTGGAGAAGACTGCAACTAAACACCCTAAACATCATTCAGGATAGTTTAAGGTAAAGAGACCAGTCAGCAGGTTGTTTAGACATACGTCTTAAATTCCCCTTCCACTCAAAAGTGTGTTTTTCTTCTTGTTGGATGTTTGAGCTTCACCATGCAGAACGATGTATGTGCAGAGTTTGACACTAGAAGGATGTTTTAACATTTATTTGCTGAAAGTAGAGAGTTTCTCTGCGCTCATTGGAAATCTGATTTATTTATTTTATTTTATTTATGACACCACAAATAGTTTGGAAGTCAATCCTGGTCCAGAGTGTGTGTGATGTAGAAACCACCTCACAAACACTGAGAATGAACAGTGAAGCAGGAGACAGATTGTGTCCTGCAGGAAAACTTTAGAAATTGACATAATTTGCATATTTATAGATCCTGTCATTTTTAATGAGGTAGAAGGATAAGTAAGGGTTTTATTGAGGGAATGAAACACACTCATTGACAGCATGCATTCAATGTAATGGCCAGCAGGGGGCAGCTCAAATAGACTGCATCATGGCCTCATTGAGAAATTACTTGTCACTTGATTTTTTAGCTCAGTAAGTAGGTAACTAACGAGTTTATGGTCTCAAACTCTAGTATCAAGTCTTCTTCCATACAGCATGATGTTCATTTTGTAAATTACTGCCCCATTTAAAGTAAAATATACGATGAAGCATTGTATGCTGGTCCAGCTCAACCGACCAAACCGAGATCAAACAGTCAGACTAGGCAGTGCTGATCAAATATAAATCATATGTCTCGCTTAAAGTCGTCTCAGAAACCTATTTTAGTGTTTATCTGTAATATGAGAACGTGTGTGAGCAGGCGAACCGCCATTGTTTCCTGCAATGGAACGAGTCGAAACTGCACAGCCAATGAGAGCAGCACAACTCGCAGTACGTCACTGCCGCTGGTTCTGAAAAAACGTCATGTCCACAAACTCTAGGCTTCAAAACGGTACTTCACAAATCGATGGGTGTAGCCTACACTTTATTGTTCCAAGCAAACTATTGGTACATGTTGTAATACATGTCTGGAGGGGGTCTTTAAAGGTGCAGTGTGTATGATTTAGGTGATTGTACACTAATGAAAACATACCTATGAATAATATATTTAATTTCTACCAATAGATCTCCTAAATGTTATGCACTAGACCTTTAAGTTTACCTAATAGTCATTATGTAACAGTAGGAGAAACATCCGAACACATCCGATGTCTTTTTCCTTTCTGTCATTATTTCAGGTATCCAAAGCCGCCGCAGACCTGATGGCGTACTGTGACGCCCACATACGCGAGGACCCCCTCATCATGCCCGTCCCCGCCTCCGAGAACCCTTTCCGAGAGAAGAAGTTCTTCTGCACCATCCTCTGATGACCTGCCGGTAGAGCTGTATGGATGCAGGCATGGCGTTGCCTGGCTTCTCTGTCTTCACCACACCTGAAGCCACTGGCCATAGGCGTTGAGTTGAGTTTTGCCAGGTGGACACTCTGTTGTTGGTCAGCTCTGTCCTGGTGGCTGAAGGTTTTTGGGGGAGTCAGCTACCAAAACTGGCAACCCAGTGAGCGTATCATGTCTTGTTAAATAGGTTTGTTATTGCTTTGTTATTAGAGAACAGCCTTGCTCAGTGCTTAATGAGATGAGAGATGTTTTTTTCTTTAATTGTGCTAGATCTTAACATGCCTCAGGAAACAGAAATTCGCCCAGTGTTGACGACTTTTTTAAACATTTATTTCCCTTCCCGTTATCTGACTAAAGCAGCATTAATATTTGTATTATCTTGAACATGATTTCAGTTGGTTTTTTGTATTGCTTTCAGTGAACAGGTTTGACTATTTGTAGCAACACTTACTGAAAGTACCACTGAAATTTGACACTTCCCTCACTAGTGGTTTCTATTTCAATTTGCCTCCGCAGTCACCAACAATTAACCCGCTCGTTTTAGTGCTGCAGTAAAGTTGGATTCACATTAGAGAGCGGAAAACAGAAACCTTATCTCACGTGGTAAATTATTTCAGCATGAGTAATAAGAAGGAGGTGACTGCACATCAGTTCTGCTGCAAATAAATAAGTAGACTCTCTATTTATTGAAAGGTGCAGAGCTAATGTTTCAACAGCGAAATGAGTTCTTCAGGGTTATCACTGTGCAAACAACCCCTAAGTCAAAAAATTATTTATGAATCTGCCACCTCCTTCCCAGGCCCGTTTTAATGCATTCTACCTTTGCTGCTCTGTTTGATTTACTCTTCATATACTTCATCCACTTCAAATCAGAGACACTATCAGTTAATCCCGCGGCCCCCCGACTGGAATATTTTTACAACTTGCAGGAGGATATTTTCCTCTTATTCCCTTAACGGCCTCATTTGTTTTCTGGGCATGTTTCCTGAGCCTGATTCTTTTTTGCCTGTCCTAGAGTGAATGGCAAGGCCTTTGACATTAATGCCAAAACCAGAGGCCTGCATGTTTTCTCTGCTCCTTTTTGACAGCCTCCTCTGTTTCCGAGGGACTGTCAGTCTTTTAGAGTGTACAGTATGTTACAGTGCCAATTTCTGTGAGAGCAGTGTGATCCTCACACTGTGGTCCCACGGCCTTTTACTTTCTTTTTTCCCCCGTTTTTTGTTTGTTTTGGAAGAAAAAGCACACTGTCGAAAAATTTCCTTTACATGGTCGTTGAATAGCATTTGCTAATTTTTACGATGAATTGTTATGATCGTTATTAATATTGTTATTATCAGTAGTATTATTGAATATTTGTTGCACAGCACTGACAGCTACATGACGTGTAGTGCTACTAAGCTTGTATGATATTTAGGAGAAAGAAAAAAAAAACATTTATAAATCATGCAATTATTGATACTATCTGAGTATTTTTTAAATATAATGGTAAGGGTCGGTTTACATAATATGATCCCTTCGGTGGTTCAGGCTTTTTGCATCATCGTTTCTGTAAAAATTAAAATAAATTTCCTCTTGGTACTTGAACAGCCTATCACATTAGGAATCAAACTGACACTGGACTGTCACAAACTCAAAACTATTGGGCTCAAATTGTTTGCAGGATAATTCTTGTCTTTATTTCCTATCTGATAAAGCTGAGACTGACCTCATCTTAAGGATGGTGCCAAATCTGAAATATAAGAAATATAACAGGCTAAAGATGAATATTGCATGGATTTATTTCTATCTATAACAGAGAGAACTATTATGATATGAAATATTGCCTCTTCATTGACTTTCTGGGTGCTACTCTGCACATAATTGGGGTCCGGATGTGTCGACAATGTGCAGCTGTATTCATGAATGGTATTATCGTTTTTTTGGTAAGAAAAATAGCATTTAAATAGCAGGCTTTGTAAATCCTTTGATGGATCAAATGAATTAAAGGAAAACGGCAACCCAAATGTGCTGTGTCTTCAATATTTCTGTCTCGTGTCTCTCTCTCTGACGTTTTTGAGCTGTCTGATCACACTGATAACATAAAAAAAAGGCCACTGCAAATGGTTCTGGGTCTCGCAGCGGAACATGATATTCTGGTGTTTAGTGGAGACCTCCTGTGGCTGAGCTGAACCACAGGCCATCTGGATGCACTGTTCATGTGTCGTGGCAATTTTATTTTTTTAAAGGATTATGATTCGACTCAGCCGCAGCCAGTTTTGCTTTTGATACTGTAGATCGTGGAGAACAAGAAAAAAGCGAGCCGGGCCTGCAGGTCGCATGAAGAATGTCGCTAAAATAATTCAGGGTATCAGACATCAACATCCAGATTTTCTGTTGAAGCTTGTTTCATGTGTCCAGCTGGGAAATTACAGCTTTTCTTCCAAGTTTGGTTGTCACTATTTCACTGCACTTTAAAGTCTGGTGATTATATCAGTCAGTCAATTGCTGGTTTTGGCCTAATCAGTCACGGGTACGCACAATAATCAACCTGGTGATTTTCTATCGCAGGTCACATTCGAGTTATATAACTGAACAGATTGTACAAAATGGTATGAAGACTTTTGATGAATGACATTGATAAGAGAAGTCAGGCGTGCCTTATTGATTTTTCTGAACCAATCCCAAAAGAGCAGGATGTAATTAAAGAGAAGCTAGAGGGGGATTTTTTCTTTAAGCCTTGGCACAGCTGTGGTGTGGATTATTATATACATTTATTTAAAGTTAAAGGTCCTGAAAACCTATTTCTTCAATCAGATTCTTACAGAATACAGGACTGTCTCCTAAAGTTTGAGCAGTTTTTGGTTTGTTTACATGAGAGGTTTCTTTATTTTTCTCACTGGTTTGAAGTAGGCGGGGCTCATTGGGAGAAATGTGATACTTAAAGTTTTTGAGTCTTTGATACATACCTGAGAATGTTTATTTTCCTAACTTTAAATTAAATTGATGTCATGACTAATTGAGGTTACAGAGAAAAAAACCTCTATCTCCGAGGGGCTTTGCAGTCTCTCTCTAAATCTGGAGAAGAATTTTTATTGGAGAAGAATTTAGCTACTACAGAGAGAGTTTTTATGTACCACTAAAATTAGAAATTTAAGAAATATGTCTAAATATCATGTGCAGGCTGTTCTCAGCTGGGACCTGACTAGATAAAAAGAAATCTATATAGATCAAGAGAAAAGCGCAGTGTGTGCTTTCGAAGGCTGCAAAGCCAAAAAAAAAAATGAGTTAGAACAGTAAAGTCTTAAAATATAAATAAAAATGTAATCAGAGTAGAGAATATAAACAACAAACTAGGATAGACAAAGATTGGATATCCGCAGTATGAGTTGAGTTGTGTTTCAAGAAACCCCTGAACATGCTATGAATAGCCCCTTTTTACCCTTTCAAATGAATAATGTGTTGCAGAGAGAGAGAACTAAATCATTGTAATGAGTATATTTATGAATATGACTCCAAAAAGAATTATATAATGCACAGGAAAGTAATTATCCCTAGGGCAGTAGGTTATCTAATACTGAGAATCTGTGCTGGAGCAATTTTCCAAATTGAGCATTGAGCCCTCAAAGTGTGCTCAAAATACATGAGAATAGTAATAATTTCTGATAAGATTATGTATCTACAGTCACAGCATGTGGTTTGCGCAGCGGTTTCATTTCTACTCATAACATTGGCAACACAGTGTGCTGCATGTCGGTGGTTCCCATTACATTATTATTTTCCCCTAGAAGGGTCGGCGAAGTCTTTAAAATAACATTTATGCAACATTGGAACTCCATTAAAATCAATACAAATGAAATGTTTACAAGCATGGCAGCAGGCGCTCTTGATGATGTGGGCCACTCTTCCTCTCCAGGAGAAAACACTGGTGCTCTCAGAGTCAGAAGAAATCCTCCTCAAACAACCCCTCTCTCCATGCACAATAGATTCCATTTAAATGATTTATGTGCAGCACAGAGTAACAGGTTCAATATACTTATGCTCTAATCTTAAAGCCACAACATGTCACCTGGGTTTTAGAGGGATAAAATGATTCATATGTTAATTTTCTTCTCCGCTTAGGTTTTTTTTCTCTCACTTCATTAGAAATTCACAATGCAGACTGAAGCAAAACAAAATATATAAAAAATGGACACTGCTTTATGTGATAAACATGGGAAGATCCACCTCAGCTGCACTGATTGGAGATCTAATCAGTTTTAGTGTCAATTTACTTCTAATGACATGTGATCAACTATTTATTGTACTTACTTTAGCATTATGTTTTATTTTATTTATCCTTTTAAGGTGTTTTTTTTAAGGCGGTTTGAGTGGAGACTGCAAAGTGCAATGCATTTTTATGGTGGTGTGAAAAATGCTGAAATGTACAGTCGACAACCCACTGCGGTGCACGCATTTATCTTTTAACAGGTTATACAAGAGTATAGCAGGAAGAGATAAATAGATAAATAGAAATTGTGCAAAATAGTGTGAACTGGAATATTCTGCACATATTTTAAGGGGTTCTCGTTGTTTTGTGTAATCCCTGTGAATTGGATATTATTGTTTATGCACAGTTTATTTAATATAATTACTGATAATAATCTTAATTTAACATTATTATGATTCATATCAACTCAGTTTATACAATTGTATTGCCTCCTTATTGTTGTGTATAACTACATGAGATGATTAATCCCTATATATTTGGTTTAATCTGCCATATGTTCTTTATTTAAGTCAAACTTAGAGTGAACCTTTGATGTTTTTTGATATCTTAATAGTTTTATGGTTTTATTTTATACTGATTCCCCCACAAAAGGTTGTATTTTAGTTGTAATTGTTTAGGATTAAAATGAAAATTAAATTAAACTCAACAAACAACAAAATAATACAAACTACAACTTAATAATAATAAATAAATAATAATGTAAGT